CATGATTTAATCCATTCCCTCCTTCTGCTTGGCAGGGGAAGGGTCTGGCAATGTTAATGATCCCAACAGGGAAATGCTAGCGAAGACTGAGGTTTCTCTCACACTTACTAATAAATTTGATGTTCCTGGTGATGAGAATGCAGAGATGGATGCGAGGACAATTCTGTTGAAGTAAGTAAGGGGTAACTACCTGGTATGTTTCTCAAGATAGGAGGAACCTGAATTTTCACAGTTCATCTACATGTGAATATGAGAGAATCAAAGAGTAATTTAAACAAACATGGGACTGCTACTCCAAATACACTGAGCTTGTAGCCATGCCCTTTCAATGCTGCAGCTGTTAAATTTGTTCCTGTTAATTCTTTGTCACTGTTGAATTTGTCATTCTTTAAAAGTCTATCTTGGATGGTTCTGGAGGGGAAAACTACCAGAAAAGAAAACTTTCTAGATGTTTGCCTGCATGTGAATAACTCGTAAAGATCATCCTGAATAATCCATAGTGTTCATCACTATTGAGTTTTAACTCTGAAGTCTATTAATGTAAAATTCAGATGAATCGATAATTGTGTTGCCTATGTAATGCACGGTGCAAATGTTTTCAATATTTCACACGTATTCTATAGAAATCTTAAGGGTAACTAAATGTCTAGTATATGTAGATAATGTTCTGTTGCTAAGTTTGCTAGCTCCTACAGAATTAGTTTCTTTACACAGCCTTTGAGCAGATTTTGTCTGTATCCTGTTAGTGAAGTGGGAGACAATGGTCACTTACGATACTCTCCCTGTAGCTTTCCCCTGTCTGTGGCAGATATCTCCGTAGGATATTTTTGCTGTTGCTGCTCTCCTCTCAGTTTATAATGTGGTCCCCTTCTGACTGAACTCGCTGTCCCCCAAGCCTGACTCTTAATAGATGAAAACTATAATAGCTTTTTGGGAAATAGAGGTGTTATTGGTCTAGTGGAAAGAGAGTAACGGACTGTCAGGGATTTCATTATTGCCAGACTCTATGCTGGAGGACTTAGTACCAATATTGACTCTTGGCCAGTTTTAAGCAAATCCCTGTTGCTGAGATGTATAGAGCAGCTACCTGACATTCACATGCATGTTTACTTTTTTTTCCTGCTCAGATGCTAGACAGTTTAACTGAGAATTCTTCAGGTCAGCTTACACTTGGCCTAGACAGACCAGTGATCTCCCAGAAGAAAATCTTGTCTCCAAAAATAACTTTAACTGGGTTTCTCAAAAGATACATCAGTATTTCCCTACCTGCCAGAAGAAGGTGACATTGATTTCAAAAGTAAAGATTTACCAGGTGTGCTGGTAGTCATCTAAGTTGTGGATGATGAGGAAGGTGTGCATGTGATGTGCTTTGTGTGATGCCAGAAATAATTCCAGCCTGACTGCAAAGCACTGAAGGTGCTCTTTGGTTTCATTGTGTGTTCAAAGACAGAATTGCCTCAGAGTGGGCACTGGCTGCAATTAAATCACAGTTGAGATCAAGGAATGACCCTGTCTAGTGCTAGATTGAAGTCAGGGATCTGCTTTGGCTCAGTTACCATACACATAAGAAAATAATTCTGTGGAGATTTTTGATAACCTGTTACAAAGCACTGAAGTGCATTTATGGATGGATAATATCATAGACTTTTTCTTACTGCACAAATTTGCTGTTGCTGCTACCTGCTTTACCTTTCACCTTGGAACTGCAGCTTCTGTAGTCCACATGGCAGTAGTGGGGCTGCCTTGGAATATATGGGGTAACGTCCTTGCTGTTTGAGGAGGTATTGGGGAGCAAATCCTATGTACCATGTAGATGAACCTTTCAGGGAACCATTTCTGGAAACACACTGTCAACAAAGTAAAATGCTTCTCAGGGTTCTGGTCTGGTCTAGCCTATGACTACTTAAGCGCACATCCAGTGGTAATACGACTGTAGGTAAATCAGTAATGTTGGAATTATTGAAGAATAGAATGATATTGAAGGTATTTCAGTTTAAAGTGGGTTTTTTGTCCTATTCTCCTTGAATTCTTTGCAGCACAAAACGTTTAATTGTTGATGTAATCCGCTTCCAACCAGGGGAGACGCTGACTGAAATCCTGGAAACTCCAGCTACCTCAGAGCAAGTATGAAGTTGTTTACCTGTGTTCTTTTTAGACTAGGAAATTGTCATCTATCTAGATATATATGGGTATACTTGGGAATCTGTATTTATGTACTGCAGTGAAGCTGTCTCCACTGATGTTGGAGCAGTCTGTAACAATAATAAGGAGGGAATATAATGGAAATAAATTGTATGTGTGAATCTTACTCCTCTGGTAATTGGTAAAAACTATCTAGAAGACTGTTTTAAACAGCAGGTAGGCTTCTGCTGGTTCCCACACGTGGAATGTGTTCATCAAACATGGATTCATTGGAGTCAGTACAGGAATGACCAAGCAAAACTTTTCATTCTATGTTATGCCGGAGGTCACACAATCTGTTTCTGGTTCTTTGTCACCTTAAAATTGATCTGTTTATGAACTTGTAATTTTTTCTCTTTTTCTAGGAAGCAGAGCATCAAAGAGCTATGCAGAAACGGGCCATTCGTGATGCTAAAACTCCTGATAAGATGAAAAAATCTGTGTCTGTAAAGGAAGATGGCAACTTAAATCTTCAAGAAAAAAAAGAGAAAATCAAGACAGGCCTGAAGAAATTGACAGAACTGGGGACAGTGAACGCAAAAAATAAATACCAGGAACTAATCAATGACATCGCAAAGGTATGCCAGTCAGTGGTTTCCTAGTAATCATAGTGGAGCTTTCCCACAGTTTGCAGTGTTATGAAACTGGCATGAGTTTTTAGGAGGAGTAAGTTTTGTAGTAGCTAATTTACAGACACGAAGCCCGCCTTTTGCCACAGCATTTCCACCTCTTGTCATTTGGGAAATCCTTTATTTTTATATGGCATTTGTGTTTTCTTAAATGACTGTGTTGCCAGAATCTCAGGCACTTTAAGGAAAAGCATTATAGCTTGGAGGGGAAGTGCTGATGCGTGATCTTTTTTCTGCTCCTTTTCACTAACTCAAGTAGCGCCTCTACAAACTTATTGACATGAGGAAGTTTTGCCAATAACTTAAAGATATCCTAACCGTTATTTTTATTTAAATGTACTCGTTCAAGAATACCTAAATCATAAAGGGAGGAGCTCAGGAAAAACTTGTAAAAGTGATCTAATACTGTTGTACATTGCTATGGTGACAATGTATTTTGTATCACATTTACAAAAAAAAAACTATTTGGAAAATGTTGTGTATGTAAAGTGAATAAATAATTGCCTTTAGGATCAAATGAGAATTTATTGTACTGTCATTAATATGTATCAAAAATGAAAATAGAAGTCAACTCGAACATGTGATATTTTTTGTTCAGGTATTAAGGTAACATATGCTTAAAGATGGCCGACTAACAAAAGAAAGATAAGGAAGTCTATGCACTGCTATGGTTATAGTGCTTGATTTGTAAGGTACCTTTCCTACCGACCGGTGGCAAAAATTGCTGCCTTCCTTTAGATCATGTACTGTCAGTGTCCACTCTAGTCATTGCAACTCGAACAGCATTGAAGTTTGAGAAAGCAACAAAAGGTTCACATGAACTGCTGTCTAGAGTTGGTTAGTTCCAAAAATAGTCAACACAGAAGAAGTGGTAACGCTTAATCTAGGACAAGTGCAACTGAGGGCTCCAGCTTGTAGCATGAAGCAACACTAAGCAAAATCAAATGCTGTGTTTCAAATATTCTGGGCTCTGGGCTTGAGCAACTGGAGAGCTCAAATGACCCTAAAGTCTCTGCTTGTCTTTCTCTGTGGTGTAGGATATCCGAAATCAGCGTAGATACCGTCAGAGAAGAAAGGCAGAGCTGGTGAAGCTGCAGCAGACATACAGTGCCTTGAACTCCAAAGCTACTTTTTATGGGGAACAAGTGGATTATTACAAAAGCTACATCAAAACCTGCTTGGATAACCTGGCCAGCAAGGGCAAGTAAGTATCTCGGAACCGTGCTGTGGCCCTAGAAGTGCTACTTACAGAAAACACGCGTAGGTTCTTGCTAAGAAGAATCATAATGCCATCTGCTCAAAGCTCCTCGACCAAGCTCTTTACTACAGCAATAGTTCTAGGGAAAGGGTCTCAGTAGTGGTGGGAAAATACAGGGAGAGTGCAGTGCCCTGAATGGGGTCAAAAAGACATACTTGAAAGAATTTTGGTCCCTCTGGGAGAGGGGAGTGTAGAGAGTCCAGTGGGAATGAAACAGGTTGCCCAGATAATGCAAATGCTGTTCAGTCAGTCTGTCCTGTCATCCTTTCTAGGAGCAGAGAATGAAAATAACGTAATTACCTACAAGGAAAGCATTGATCATGAATTGTCCTCTTTTTATCCCGAATGGAGTCAGTTGTTTTAGTGCAAGATAATTCAGATTTTCTGGGGAAAAAAAAGTGTCGTCTCTCCCAGTGAGATGTGGGAAGAGCAACTGTCAGTGAAAACTGAGGCAACAAAGTTGTTGAGTAATCTCAGCCTTCTCCATGTCAGTTGTCACCAGATCCCCTTTTGCCTAATGATAGATGGTACTGCTTTCTATGAAGTACCATGTGGTTATGTTTTGGGATTTTTTTGTTGGTTGTTTTTTTTTTTCCTTCTCCTGTAGAGTAAGAGCTATTGGTAAATAGTAGAAAAATTAAAGATCTGATCTAAGCTACAAGTGCGTGGTAGATAAACTCACTAGTACAAGTACATCGTCTATCAGCTGCATTAGTCACAGTTGCATAGCTATACTGGTTCTATCCCCTCATCCAAATAGGACTAAATGTTTGCTGTCCGAAATCTCTTTACTGGTTTGGCTGATCATCTTGTTTGGTGGGGGTTTTTTGTGGTTTGGCTTTGTGGTTTGGTTTTTGTTGTGGGTTTTTTGTTTGTTTTTGTTTTGAGGTTGAATTTTTTTTTTTCCCCCGCCCCAGGGTCTCTAAGAAACCTCGGGAGATGAAAGGCAAAAACAGTAAAAAGATTTCTCTAAAATATACAGCAGCTCGACTTCATGAGAAGGGAGTGCTTTTAGAGATTGAGGACCTGCAAGTTAACCAGTGAGTATCTTTTTAAGACTTCTTAAAGCTAAATAACCTTCTCAGAAGAAAACAGGTATGTTGAATTCTTGTATCTTTCTTTGAACTGGTCTAGGTGCTGGCAATTGAGGAACAGAAGCTCTGAGATTTGCTTGAGATCATGACAAATTGTCTTGCAATTTTCTTCTTGGAAATTTAGCATTGTTGGTAGACTTAGCTATTAAAGCTGAAGAAATTGTTTTGGCAATTTAGGCTGGCATCCCTAAGGCCAGGAAACCTTGCATAGTGATCACTTCCCAGTTCTCTCTCTTTTCTGGTTGAAGCAAAGCAGGTCTTTGATTGAGAAGTGTAATGGGATTTAAACATGACATCCTCTTCCCACCCACCCCTTCCCTGTCACCCCCACAGTCAGGGAAGGGTACCTCCTTGGGTAAACTGCTACTCACTGTTGAAAAATCAACAGACTGCATGGGCTGAATTACCGTGTTTTCTACTACGGTTGTGTGAAGGTGTGATCTACTGGATGTAGAATCTGTTAGGCTTCCATTCATTGTTGTATTGAGTGTGGTCAGTTTTTATGGTCTCACTCCAAATGGGGATATAGAGTACAGAGTTAAGAATAGAATTCTTAGACATTTATCTTCAGATTTCATCTCGTATATTCTCTCCCTGTTTTCAGTAGGAATTACCTGTTCAGTAATGAACTATGGTTTTTAATTTCTCAAATTTCATAGGTTTAAAAATGTGATATTTGAAATCAGTCCAACAGAAGAAGTAGGAGATTTCGAGGTAAAAGCAAAATTCATGGGGGTACAGATGGAAACCTTTATGTTACATTATCAGGTAAGAACTGTCCTATTTAATACTGGCATATAAGTTCTGCTTGGCAGACTTTTCATCAAAATAGTAATTATATGTTTTCTGCCTGAACAGTCTGAAAAATGCTCTCAAAAACAATCCATTTGTTGCAGGCAAAATAGATGCAATGCAAATGGCAGATTCAGACTACTTTTGTTTCTTTACTAATGAAAGCCTGATGTTAGTCTGTGTTCTTAGTTACACTTACATGTACACACACAAAATAAACATGTGCATTTTCAACAACTTCCTGCTATAGCAGAGAGATCAGGAGTCCATGGCAGCAGTCAGCTGGGCTTGGGTGTGGTGGCTTGGGCCAGTCGTCATGTATTGGTATTCCTTCTGCCACCCTACATTTAACGGTTTCTTTAGGAATACGGTTCTGAGGAGTCCTCAACCTTTACTTAGGCCAGGCTATCAGAACAGGCATACTGACTGACCTTTTCCCAAACAGTTCCCCATTCTTCCTCCAGTACACCAGTACTGTTATGCCCGATATCTCTGTCCCCTTATTGCACTTCTGTCCCTGCTCACCCCCCACCCAAACTGGGTGTCATTAGGTTTGTTAATCATGGATGCCTTGGGGGTCTTGAAACAGATGGTGTGCAGGAGTGCTTTGCATTGCGGTAAGTCCATGCCAGCTAACTAGCTGCTGGGAGGGACAGCTGCCTCATGCATGATGTTCGTGTGCTCTGTGGACTCCCCTAGTTCATTCTGGTCCTAATCCGTTGGAGCTGGTCACAGACTTCTTGGTTCATAGGGCTACCTAAGGTCACTTGCTCCTCAGGCACATATGTTGCTATGCTGCTGTGCCTTTGTAGCACTGCTTTACAGAAACAGCAGATACTCTGAGATGACAGCAATGAGGGAACTACCATTGGTCATCCAAGTATAGCATTAACAGTGGCATCAGTTAAAGAAACTTGGATTGCCACTGCCGAAATTTTTACAGGAAGCAGCAGGATTAGCTTTATGATTGTTTACTCCAGCGTCACCCAGGCTGGAGAGCTGCAGGAGCCAGATTTGAATTTTGGAACGCACAGGTTTTCCTGCAGTAGGACTACCTGAATGCCTTCTTCAATATGTATTATTCAATAGTGGGCTTGCTGAAAGAAGTTCATTGCTGAGATAAATCAGTGCTGTGAGTCCCATTGCTCTGTCAGGTGCATAGCTGACAACAGCAAAGTGTAACTAGAAATGCTGCTTACATAAATGCCCAAGAGACTGAATTGGCATTGTGTACATAGTCCTAACAGAGATGCCACTTCTTTCTCTGTCCTAGATTGCAGTGCTCTAATCCACCTCACCGAGACCTATGGCAATTCAGATTTTTAGGAAGTGACGCTGTGGAATGTCGAAATGTTTCATGGGTGCATAATGTAATTAGGCACATAGGAGACCTTTTCTAAATGTTACAACAACTTTATGGCTGCTGTGCAAATGATAAGCCTGGAGATGGCTAGATCTGAAATTTGGTTTTCTTAGAATGGTCTTCTATTTCTGCCCTCTTTCACTGTTATTTTTTTTAATAAACAGAGAATACAAAATTAAGATCTTAAATGCCTTAGAGCAACTTTATTTTTCATGCAGTACAAGCGGATCTTTAATGAGTCTTTTTCTTTTTTTCTATCTTACGCCATGTACTTTGTGATAGATACTCCTCAGAAACCTGCTGCACCATAATATATTCTCTATAAGCTCTTGAGGATTCCTTGCTCATAAAGGTATTCTCTTTGGCAGGATCTTTTGCAGCTGCAGTATGAAGGTGTTGCGGTCATGAAGTTGTTCGACAGAGCAAAAGTGAATGTTAACCTTCTGATCTTTCTTCTGAATAAGAAATTTTATGGGAAGTAACCGACCTCAGCCAGCAAGTCTGTGAAAGGGGAGATGAATAGAAACCTGCACATACAACTTTTAATGACATAGCTATGTATCAATATATGCCAATACTGTGCTAAAATATATCAAATATATCATGAAGAACTAAGAACCTCTTGTGAATTGACAACCCTGATTGAGTCTGCAGGGATGTGATTTCTTGTTTATTTATGATCTTTATCTTCAACTTTGAAGGCCCCCTGAAAAGCAATTGATTTAGAATGTATTTTTACATGGCACTGGGGATTAAACTAATATTAGAGTATACTTAGGGCATCTGGATGCTTTATTTGCCTAATTGCTCTTCTTGCCTGTGTGAAGAGAAAGCTGGCACTGTACAGCGGTCAGTTTGCATCTTGAAAGCAACAAAGGGTTGCAGATTGTATTTGGACTCCAATTATTCTTTAACAGTGATGACCAAAATTAAAAATGGTCGAGGTCCAGGTTAGCCATTTGTTTGCGAGCTTGCGGTGGTGGCAGTGGCCAATTCCCAAGATAGAACTACTGCCATCTGGGGAATCAGTAAGCATCATAAATGGTTGCTGAACTATTCATGATTATGTACTATAGCCACATAGAACAGCTTTAGTGTCTCATTTTTCTTGATTTGTTTCTGTTGATCACACTGTAATAATTTACAGATGGCCCCTTAAATAGAGGGACCAGGGAATGTATTTACTAGTGCTTACAGATGAAAAGAAGCCTTTTGGGGAAGGGGAGGGAAACTTAAAAAATTTCTTGACACACGTTAGCTTTTAATGTTGCTTGCAAAGCATTTGAAATGTAAAAATAACTTTTTTTTCCAGTTTAGAGCAATGTTCTATATATCTGTATCTGATGTAATAAATGTTAGGTTCTACCTGCAGACTTATCAAAGGAAGATGACTATCTTAAATAGATTAGCTTTTAAAAAGTTAATTATTTCTAGCTATACTTAAGTTCCCTTTTCTTTTACTACTTTGGTTTGGGTTTTTTGTTTGTTTTCACCATCGTGGTGGTGCTGGCTGTTCTGTGATATCCAATAAAAATGCAGAGACTATTTAAAAAACAACCACCACCAAAAACCACAAAAAACCAAACCTGACCTTTACATTCATTGGTTGCTCCAGCTCTCCTCCCAGTTTTTTTTCTTAACATTTTTATTTTTTAAAAAAGGGAGATATCTTAATTGCAAATTTCAATTTATTCATAGGTCACTTGTATTATTTGTTCAGATTATTGAGTTCAATTAAACTGCTTTATCTCTGATCTACACTGAGCTAGTTATTTCAGCTTAGATCTTTTTTTCTCATGAAAGACACTTGTATTTGAAATGGCTACATCCCTGAGGACAACTTTTCTGCAGTCCTCTCAGAAGCAAGTATTTATTTCAACCTGCTGGTGTCTAGACTGTATTTACACATATTTTAATGTTAGTGCATGCCTGGTCCAAACCAATAACAAAAACTACTTGCCAGATGCAAGAAAGATCTTTATGGTCCAGATCATATGAAACGGAGAGACCTCAGAACTGAATTTCCACTGAAATCTGACTAAGAGGTCTGAAAGGGGATAAAGGTCTTGCCTTGGTTTTTTTGTGTGGTTGGGTTTTTTTGTTTGGTTGTGTGGGGTTTTTTGTGGGGTGGCTTTTTTTCTGCCTCTGAGTTTGCTGTGTCCTAGAAGGACTTAAAAAATTAATTCCTTTGATTTGATGAGAATAATGGTAGAATGTTACAGAATGATTGTTAGGAAAATGCAGCTGTGTTCTGCAAGCTCTTGAGCCACAGAGATTGATCATACCCCCTCCTCTCTGCCAAATAAATTTCAACTATAACCCGCCTGGGATTTAGGGACAAAGTAATGAGGTGTTGAGGCCTATGTAGTACCTATGGGGAAAGCATCCTTACTATGTGATTTACAATAATTCCCCTTGTTGCCTACACCTACTGAAAAAACAGGGTTTTAGCAAAAATTGAGGAGGAAAAAAACACAACAAAACAAACAAACAAAAAAAAACCAACAAAACACAAACAAAAACCAACGATTCAGTTCTTTGAAAATTATCTTTTTTTTTGAAAGAGTCTACTCATAATTTACTGGTGGTTTAGCTTTGCTTATTCCATTACACCACTGTATTTAGCCATGGGAGTAGCTACAAGTACAGAATGTGTTGTCTTTCTTTCCTGGTAAAATTTGCCTTTGTAAAAAGTAAATTTGCCTAAGTAAAAAGTCATTTGTCCCCACGGGTGTTGTGTGAACTGCTGACTGCATGCAGCAGCCACCAGCGCAGAGCTGGGCCCCAGGCATGGTGTTGCGGCAGGCGCTGGCTCCGCCGTGGGCAAGCGCGGTTGGGCTGCGCCAGCACCAGGGAAACCACTGTGACTCCAGAGGTCTCCACCTCCTCTGCCAGTCAGTCCCGGCCTTTCTGGTGCCTATGGGGATGGCTGTGATGTGAGGAAGCACAGTGGACGATACCACACAGCCAGGGTGGAGGTGTGAACCTCCCAACGACTGCGTGGCTCCCACCCCAGGGACATCCCTGTGGCTATGTAGCACCCGAACAGACCCATGGCTCCTACCTTCCCAGAATGTTCTAGCCCCATCCTAGTAGGATGACCGCAAGCTGGCCCTTGACAGCATCTTACTTTCAATTAACAGAAATGTCTTGTGATTCAGCTAAGGTAAATAGCAAGGCCCTCACAGATGCTCCTGCAACCTCCTTAGCCTACAAGCCTTGCACTGCACTGAGGTTCTCTTTGCCATTTGCTGTGGCTCTGCAGTGTCCTTGTGGCCCCCAGCTACCCCAAACCCTGCACCAGAGCCAGCAAACACTGCCCCAAAACTGACTGGCCAGCAGCATCTGCTTGAGTGCCCCCAAAGACCTCTAAGCCTGCCCCCAGGGCCTTGAAACACTGCAAACCCTGCCTCAGGGTCTCCAGTGCCCAATTCCAAACATCCCCAAATCCTGCCCCAGGGCCCCAAGCGTCCTGAGATCCTTCCCCATAGCTGACACCAACACCCAAACTGCCCTTGGGCTGGTACCTGTGAGAGCTTTCAGCAAGCTGCTTTCAGGATCTGCGGTGGACCTCTGTTTCACCAGCAGAGCCAGGTGTCCCCAATGTGTCGTGTAATGCCCCGGCCTCCATGGACAAGATTAAAATGCATCTTTCCAGCAAAACCATGTAATGGAGCATTTCTTTCTTTTTGTGTACGAATTTCAGCCACAAAAGTAGAGTTCTCATGACGTGTACAGCAATCTCTCGTCCTGGCTCTGCCAGGGATTGTGCCAACACAGGGAAACATTTTCTGCTTGCAGCAACCATCTCTAGTTCTTGCATGTAAGTTGTAGGACTGTAGTGATTTCTAGAATAAGACTAATGCTAGTGCACGCTAGGAGTAAAGCTCTCCTATAACAATAGAGATTCTATCTTCTGTATGGGAAGAAATGTAACTCTGAACCAGAGCACCTTGAGAAAAGGGACAGATACTGTAATAAGGAACTTTTGACCCTAAGGATTCCTCCTATGACTGGATGGAAATTTTAGGTGACAACTTTTATCACCTGATACTCTGGGGCTAGCCAGGTTCTTTCAGGGACCTTGGCAGAACAATGACAGCACTAAGTTGTAGTTACTGTTAAAGCTTCATTTTTCTAAACAGAATTTTATTATCAGCATAGCATAGAACTTTATGATCAGAGTAGCACAGGATTTCTACAAGCAGAATCAGTGCACTGTGGGATTCACAGGGAGTGTTGCGAGCGACCTTGAACAACATAGCCTTGAAGGAAATAGTCTGAGAAAGCAAGTAATGAAGCAAGCGCAGAAAGGGAGCTGAAGATAAAAATGTTTTGAAGCACAGCTGTGAGACCAAAACTAGAAGACGCGTGTCTTGATGAACAGCACCAATTAAAAGCTTAGCTGCGGCGCGTGGACAGCAGGGGTTAACTAATCCATGAACAAACTAGGGTGCGTGGGCAGCAGGGGTTAACCAATCCATGAACAAACTAGAGCGCGTGGACAGCTAGTGAATCTATATAAGCACAAACCTGTAAACAATAAAGGTCTTTGGTTTTACCCGCGCCAGAGTCTGTGAATCAATCCCTACAAATGGCACCCAATGTGGGGCTTAATAGCGTGGAACGCACGTCGGTAGGGA